ATCCACTGAGCCATCCAGGCAGCAGCTCAGCTCAAGGTGCCGAGTTCACTCTTTAGTTGCGGGCAGGCATAGCCTACCATCTTGAACAGGCAACCTTGTTGTTAGGAGCACATGCTCTCACCAGCTGAGCCATCCTCCCATCTGTTGGCAGGCAGCTCAGCCCAGCTCGGGTGTGGCTCACTGGCCCATGTGGGAATCAAACCGGCGATCCTGTTGCTCAGAGCTTGCACTCTTGAGCAAGCTCTTAACGAACTGAGCCACTTGGCTGGCCTCTAATATTCTTAATATATAATGAACGCCTATAAGCCAATAAGAAAAAGAGCAACAACTCAATGGAACAGGCAAGGGATACGAGCAAACACTTCCTGAAAGAGGCTTTTAAACATATGAATGTTTAAATGACTATATGTTTCATAAACATATGAAACAAATGACTTTTAAACATATGAAAAGATAAAGAGGCTTTCTTGTATAAGAGAAATGCAAATTAAAGCGGCTCAAATTCCTTTTTCACTTGTCAGGTTGGCAAAAATCTGCAATTCTGACAACATATAGTGATGGCAGAGGTGTGGGAAATAGGCACACTCACAAAATGCTGGTGGGAGTGAAAATTGTTGCAGCCTCTATGGAGGGCAGTGTGGCAATATCAGTTACAAGACCGTACACACTTTACCCTGCAAGTCCTCTTCTAGGAATTTATTCTGTAGATATATCTCAATACATTTAAAATGATATGTTTATCGTAGCTTATTCAGCATTGTTTGAAATGGCAGAAGATTGAAAACAACTGAAATTTCCATCATTAAGGACTTAATTAAATAATATGTAAAATATATGCCATGGTACATCTACAAAATGGTGTGCTGTGCAACTGTAGAAAAGCACAATGAAATTCTTTGCGCATTTATTTGAAAAGATCTGTAAGGATTACTGGTATGTGAAAAAAGCCAAGTGCAGAAAACCTGTATGTAGTTCTGTTTCATTTATTTAAAAATGGGGAGGAAAAGTGTGTGCTTACATGGAAAAATATATCTTTGGAAGAATACAGAAGACACTGACAACATCGATTTGCCTGCGAGAAGTAAACTGAACGAACTGGGAGATAGGAGTAAGAGTGTTACAGGCACTCTGGGTTCTTGTGATCTCCCAGGATGGAAATCAAGAGAGATCACCGCAAGAAAGTTCAGGCAAGAGGCAAAGGTTTATTAAGCTTGTGCACAAGGGGATCAACACTGAGAAAGGAAAGGTTCGGATGGCTCCTCGAGAGAAGGGGCAGAGTTTTAAAGGGATCTAGGCAACTTAAAAGCTATGCCTCGGCCTGTAAAGGTGCCTGCGCAGTGCGATACATGCTTCTTCATGCGTGGTGCATCTCATTAGCACGGTAAATTTCCATCCCTGGGTGTGATTTCTAGTATTTAAATTAGGGAAGGGTCACCTTAAAGACACTCTTGGGCCTTACTGCACATGCCCGGTGATAAGGAATTTCCCTTGTTGCTGGCATGCGGATCTTTGTGGTTTGCCTCTCAGGGCTCTGTGATGCCCATCGGTGGTGCCCTGGGGGCAGATATTCTTGTGAAGCTTATCAGGCTCCAGCAGCTGACCTTTCTGACTAACTCAACAGTAGGAGCTTTCCCTCCTGTCTCAGGAGAAAGACGTTTTAAATTTGAAAATTAAAATAAAATTTATTTGGTATTATGATTCAAAAGGATATGTAAATTATGTAAGCTTTATGAATATCAATAAAACGAGCACCTGTGAACCCACATTTAGAAATAGAGCATTATTATTAGTTTGAAGCCCCCATGTGCCTCTCCCTGGTTCCTTCCTCTTTTTTTCTACTCTTTCTCCTCACCGTTTCTTCCCTTGTATAAATGTCTCCCTCTGCATCTTTTATGTGATCCCTGTGACTTCCTAGAAACTTTTCTCCATATGTTTTCTTTCTATCTCCATACACTCATGCTGTGTACATTCAACCCATAGTTAGTGACCCCTTTCTCCAGATCAGTCCCTGATATCTGTCACCCCCTACAGGAGCAAACAAGCCTGACACCAGCATTGGAGCCAGCAGAGCAGCTAGAGCCCAAGGGAGAGGAGGAAGAAAGCCCTGTGGAAAGGGAGCCGGAAGAGGAGGCCCCTGCTTCTCCCAGGCTCATCCACCCCAATGACGTCCTCAAGATTCTGGAGGCCTTTGTCATGGGTCTGAAGAAGCCCAGGTGGGCTGTGGTGCCGGAGGGCTTGCCTGAGAACTGGGAAAGCTGGGTGGGATGCGGGGGCCAAGCAGATGCCACTGAGTGGAGAAGAGGCTGCTGGGGAATCACGTGGGGGAGTGAGGAAAGGGATATCTGAAAGGAGGGCTAGAGGAATCAGTGGGCGTTATAATGAAAGAAACGGGGTGTAGAAGTGGCTTGCATTTTTTTCGTTCATGATTCATTTGTTGAACATTATTGGGGGCGGCTATGTGTAGGCCCCGTGGGAATAACACCTTGTGATCGGAACAATAGCCAAAGCATGTGAAAGGTGTCATGTTGCTCAGAGGAGGAAGTGGTCAACTCCATTTGGTATGTCAGGGAGGGCTTTAGAAGGAGATGGCACTGGAACTGAGTTTTCCTAGGTGGATAAAGTGTTGGGGGGCGGGGGGCGGGAATGGGCATTTCAGGATGTCACTGCATGGGAAAAGGTGTGGTATATTCAAAAATCTTGACTGAGAGGTGTGGCTAGAGTGTCAAGGGTCTGAGAATTAGGACCGGTGGGTAGGGAAGCCAGACCAGATCTCGGAAAGCCAAATGTGCCCAAGATCTTGGTCTTCACCATTTAGTGGGCCGGAGCCACAAAAGGACCTTAAGCAGCCGGGGAACCGTGATTAGCCTTCCATTTTAGAAAGATCACTTTGGCAGCAGGGAGGGAGTGATGCTGGATACAAGGAGAGTGATGGGAAGGTTTGCCCAGGTGGGAGGTGATATCCTGAATCAAGGCTGTCCTAGAAGGGATAGAGAAATGATGACAAATTTTGAGAGCTGTTTTGGATGCGTTAGTGAGAGAAATGGACATAGTCATGAGCTTTAAAGCCAGTGAGGTAAACTGATTGAGAGAAAAAGGGTGGACTAAACTCTAACGGCGCTCACAAAGGTGACAGTGGCCCCGAGAATCAGGAACGTTGATGATAAGCTTGTGTCCTTTCCGAGAACCTCCCATAACCTGACAAGTTTGTACAGCTGAGTGGGAAGGTGACAGATGGAAAAGCAGTAAGTCTGTGAGGGACAGGCACTGCTTGGGGGCTTCGGTGGTGCCAGGTAGACGTGTTGGCACCAGTGTCCTTGACCTTCAGGGACTCGCAGCCACCTGTGAAATTGCGGAAGGAGGTACGCGATAACTCCAAGGACTCTGAGTACTGGCAGGCCCTGGCCACGGTGATCCCTCAGTCCACACAGAACCTCTGGGATGGTCTATATACAGCCTTGGAGAAATACCAGTAAGTGTGCGTGTCATGGACCAGGAGGAGAGGGGGCCAGGCAGGTAGGTGAGGAAGGATCCCTGCTTGGAGTGGCCACGATTGATGCCTCCCTGTCCTATGAACTCTTGGGAAGAGAAGCTGCCTTTGGAAACTCCTGTTGGGGGCATGCAGTGCAGGGTGGCTGGCCTGGCTTGGTCAGGGCAGGAGGTCTGCTCTGGTAGGTATGGCCTCTGGGGTCCTCTTTCACCTCCCACCAGAACAGAAGCACAGAGACCCTGGCCCCTGCTTGGTAGAGGATAGAGGCGGCCATAGGCCTCTCACCAATTTTTCTGCCCACAGCCTCATCCTGACCCAGAGGGCCGAGCTGCTGATAGAAAACAATTCTCTGGAGCAGCAGAACACAGAGCTCCAGATGTTGTTGAAGCAGTACCTAGCCTCCAAGGTGGGTGACGGGGACCCTCCAGGGAGGGTGGGCAGGAGGCCGGGGAGGTGGTGGGACTGGACCTGGTGTTAGGAAATGAGGAGTGCTCTCTCCCACCACAGGCAGGCAAGCCTGTGGGTTGTAATAGTGTCCCTGTGATGCCCACGGTTTGGGGCACCAGCTGCTCGTTGGTGAAGCAGTGCCAGAGCCAGTGATGCCTCACAGCTTGCTGAGCCCTTCCCGATGACTTTTCTTCTTTGGTGCTAACAACCACTCCGTGAGGGAGAGAGGGCAGAAATGATTCTCCCTCTTTCACAAAAAGGAGAAGCAAAACTCGGAGACTTTATGACTTGCCCAGAGCATGGGCTCTTCCTGCTTTGCCAGCCCACATTGTCTGGCCTGGGATGTGACCTGGGAGAAGAGGCTCCAATGGGGGCAGATATTCCCTGGCCCCCACCTTGTGCCTGCTCCAGTGATAGTTGGGGCAACTTCTCCATGGCCTGGCGAGAGGAGGAATCTCACCATCTCTGCTCCCATTGGTTTGTAACACAGTTGCTGGCTCTGATTTGCTGGTGGGGAATCCTTCACAGGGTGCTATGGTCGTGGACCAGGAGGGTCATGACATTGGCCTGAGCACAGTTCCTCTGTCATCAGCTGTGCATGACTGAGACCAGTCACAACAAGCCCAGGCACTGGGGCCAAGTGGTCCTGTGTGGTCTTAGGCCCCAGGCTACACCTGAACAGGGGGTGTGGTAAGCCTGGGCATCATGATGGCCTCTTGGCCTGTGACAGGACTCAGACATTAGGGGACCATGTGGTCCGCGCTTCCATTGATGCTACTATATACAAGGAGATGGGGAAGAGGAGGGAAGGGCAGGGCTGGGCTGGGGATGGGTGGCAGGTGAAGCGGGGAAAGGATGGATCAGAGTGGAAGGTTAAGAACGTCCCCAGAGGTTAGCTAGCTGGAGCAGCAGCCAAAAAGGAAGCCCTGCACTTGTCTTCTGAAGGAAGGCAGATGGAGGCTTTCCCAGACATCTGGAAGCATTTGGGGAGGAAATGCATGCAGAGATTCAGAGGCCTGTAGGAGAGTAAACATGGGCACCTGACCCCCAGAGGTCATGAAGACAGAGGACCCTGGGCAAAATGCAATGACCTTTACTCCTTGTCTTCCAGATAAACTCTGAACTGCAAGTTCCTCCGACTCAGGTGTTGCAGATACCCACAAAATCGAAACAGACCTGAAATGGCTGCTGCGTTAGCGCGTAAACGTGTTGGCATTGGTGCTGGAGCCAGCTTGTATAACCTGGGGAGCTGCAGGCCCCACTCTGCATTTTCCAGAGCTGCCATTGTAAGGCCTGTCAAAATAGGGTGCCGAGGGAAGTCACCTGTATCCTGCAGTCATGATTAAAGCCTTTAAAAAGTTGTGGCTGAATCTTTTTAAAGAGTTTTGGTCTCGTGAGAAGTGGGTTCCTGCTCCTACCTCTGTCATGAGGGGACTTTGTCCCCAGCCTCCGATTGTGATGTGAGAATGGGCATGTTGCTGTGAGATGAGACCCTGGCCTCGTTGTTTTTTTTTTAATTTTTTTATGTGTGTGTGTGTGTGTGTGTGTGTGTGTGTGAGGGGTGTGGGGAGGCAGTTGGTGTCTCTGAGTGGAGGCTGGAGCTTTGGGGCAGCTTGTGGGGTCTTTGGTTTTCAGACTGTCCTTAGGCTTGCAGGACCCTTTTGGTGAGCTTCTGGGGCCTCCGGTCCACCCTGCTGTGCCCCCTGGCTGTGGTGTGAGGCTCCTCCCCAGGGCTGCCTGGGCAGGTGGCCCTGTGCCTTAGGGCCTGCCTTGAACCCTGGGCCATGAGGTCACCCAAAGGAAAAACCAGTGGGGCCAGCTGGTGCTGAGTTTGCCAACCTTGAGTGCCCGCAGACCCTGCACCCCCACACCAGTGCCCCCACTTGACCAGCCGCACACTTGTCAGCCCAGTCAGTGTTGGATATCTTTTATTAAGAGAAAGGAAAAACCACTCAGGAAAGGAAACAGAAGAAACCCAACTCACTCAGGCAGGGGGCAGCACTTCAAGTACAAACTCCTGGCTGTAACTGGAGGGACTGGAAGAGTGGGCTCTGCAGGGGTGGGGAGGGCAGCGGTTGCCTGTGGGAGGTGGGAGGGCACAGGGGTTAACGCCCATCGCGCCTCATCTAGGCTTGCACCAGCCTGGGCAGAGGAAGCTCTGGGAAGCCATAAAAACCCACAGGCAGGGCAGGGACTGGGGGCTGCCTGGGCAGGGGGAGGGCCACGTGGAGTGCGCAGGGGGCGGAAGCAGCTAGCCCCGCAGGATAAGTAGGAAGGGCCTGGCCCGCTTCTGCAGAACAAAGACTGGCGGTGAAGGCTGCCCTCACAAGATTATGTGTGGGGGAGGTGCGCGGGGTGATTTTTGCTCATTTATGCTGTTCAAAGCCCATGACATGATTCTGGGTTAATTTCATGGAAGCTTTAGCCCTGAACGGAAAGGCCTGGGGGAGGGTTTGGGGTAGCTTCCTCTAGAGCCAGGGCCTGAAGAAGGGTGGTGCCTCAGCACCCCCCACCCACACTCCCCACCCCGCAGGCAGGGACCAGAGGGGCAGGACCCAGCAAGCAGCAGGCTTGGGGTGATGAGGATGGGCAGTGGGGTGTCACCAGCCCAGCACGCAGGAGACAGGCTCCTGGGACCCGAGGCCTAAAGGGTGGACACAGGGCTGCTCGGGCTCCCCAGAGAGAGGAAAATCCACGCCAGAGGAGGGGCCAGTGCACAGGCCCAGGAGAGGAGCTGCGGGAGGCTGTGGCGCCTTCATGCCCCCAGGAGCTTCTTGACCATGTAGCCGGGAAGGCTGTAGAAGAAGAGGGCCAGCATGAGGAGCCCCAGCAGCGCCAGCACGATTTTGATGATGAGCCACTTGTACCGCGTGCAGATGAGGTACTTGATGGACTTGAGGGGGTTGAGGAACCAGACGAAGGCGGTGTCGGGCCGGCTGGGGGAGGAGGACACTGCAGTCAGGTGGTGGGCATCTCCCGAGGCACCCCGTCCCCTCAGTCCTTCTAGACCCCAAAGGGCCTGTCATGGCCCCAGTCCAAAAGCAGTGAGTGCTGGAGCCAGGGTTCGAGCCCATTTCTAAGCACCAGGTTTGCTGTTTACATTCCCCTGTCCCATGTGGGGGAACCCCCTGGCGCCCCAACCTCCTCCCAAAGCCTAGGCTGCATTTCTGGCCGTTGGGTAGCCGTCAGCCTCTACCTGAACACTTGCGACAATGGCGGCTCACTACTTGAAGGGACAGCTGCCGCACCACAGGCAGTTCTGATTACTAGGAAGCTCCTCTATTTAGCAAGCAGTTCATTGTATATGGTCCAGTGCTGCCCCTTGTTCTCTCACAATGAGATCAGTTTCTCAACCTCTCTGCCTTCCTGATTTAACATAAACTTCTGCCAAGAGTCTGTGAAGCCCCGGTGGGGCGTATGCCACCCCCACTGACCTGCCCATTGTCAGGGTACGACAGGGTACGATCGCTGCTCTAACTTCTGCGTGGCCTCCTAGCCAAGAAGTGCTTGTTGAGCTTTACATTCTATTGTTTGTGTTACAAAACAATAGGCTTTAAAAAGTGTCAAGATATAAATATGTATTGAACTTGCTTTTTCAAACTCCTGCCCTGCTGACTCCTGGAGGACACAGACCTCATCCCCCAGAGCCACAGTCAGTGTAAGCGGGGTGTGGGCACAGGGCACCTGGTTTCTAATTTCAGCTGGGACAGGCAAGTTAGCACCTCTTTGAATGGACCCTACCTCCGGTGTTGTCAAAAGGGTGGAGTGAGGCAGTGAAGGGTAAAGCCTTTGGCACAGTGCCTGGCACCGAGCAGGTGCTCAGCAAATGTGGGCTACTAAGCTGTTGGAATTGGATGGAGCAACCTATTGTCCTGCAGGTGGAAAACGGGTCTGGGTTGGGAGGTGGGTGCTGCAGGAACCACTCAGAACTTGCTGGCTAATCCTAGCCTAACACTGTCCCCATCCCCTGTCTGTATCTCAGCTTCTTTCTGCCGATGGAATTGGGTTAGCCTGTCAGGAATGTTGCTGGGAGAGGAGGTGGTATTGTGCGAAGGATGCTGGATTGGCAACTTGGAAGCGTAGGCTGAGGCCTAGCTCTCCCCTGATTTACTAGGGGACCTTGGGCAGCTGACTTCATTTTTTGGGCCTAATATGTAATCATGTAAAATTGTCATCTCCAGTTCGGAGAGTCCGTGATTAAAACTGTTAAAAAACTTGAAAGTTGCTCTGTGTGTGTGTGCGTGTATGAGCTGTGTGTGCACTGTGTGTGTGTGTGTGTGTGTGTGTGTGTGTCTTCCACATGCTTGTAAGCTCATGAGCCCTAGGTCCAGAGGAAGAAGGGAGGAGTACCAGACCCAGGAGGATGCCGGACTCAGGCCCCAAGGATCTTCTTGACCAAGTAGCCAGGCACAGAGTAGAGAAAAAGGGCAAGGAAGAGGAGCAGCAGCAGTTTGAGGAGCAGCTGGCGATATGCGTGCCACAAGAAGTAGCGGGCAGACTTGAGAGGGTTCAAGAACCAGATGAAGCTCGTGTCAGGCCGGCTGGCGCAGCAAGAGGAGCAGAGGGAGCAAGGAGAAAGGACAGACAGGGTGAAGGCTCAGGCTGTGGCAAGGGGGCCTGGCCAAGAGGCGGGCTGATCCTGGGCTCAGAAGTTCCCAGGAAGGGGCAGAGGGCAGAAATGCCTGCAGAGTGGGGGCAAGAAGACCAGAAGGTTCTGGCCCCTCCTTCCTGTTCCAGCAGCCCCAGGGACTTGGCCGACTGGGCACTCACTTGGGTTTCTCGAGGGGGTCAGGCTCATTGCGGGCCAAGCCCACCGGATTCTTCTCTGCTTCTTCTGCTGTCAGTAGATGCAACTCTGCCTCCACCTTGCCCTGCAGAGAAGAACAAAATTGTCCCAGAGCCGGGGCCAGGTGCCAGGCCCTCAGGACCCCAGCCTGGCCTAAACCTGCCCACCATCTGAGCAGGGGTGGTGCCCACCGTGAGCTCAAACTCGTCATTCTCATTGCGGGCCAGGAGGGGCCACCAGCCTTTGACACGTTTCTGCTTGAAGATGGAAACCAGGGGCACCTCCACCTCCCCTGTGGCCATCTCCATGGTGCACTGCTTGGCTGTTTTGGCGCCCCGCGGGAATCGGTTCAGGTCCAGCTCGATGGCACCTGTGACAACCTTGGAGTCAGCTCTGACACTGGTGGGAATGAACCCCTCACCCAGGGTGGGCTTACTTTGTCCCTACCACCCCCTCCCTCGCCCCCTCCATTCGGGGTCCCAGTTCCCTGGCCCAGCCCAGCTCTGCACCCAGGAAATCGTCGGCAGAGAAGTGGTCGGCATCCCAGATCTGCAGGGTAAGCCGAGCTGGAATCTTATATTCAGTCTCGTCCCAGGAGAACATGGACTCCTTCTTGGAGATGACGATCTTCTCCTCAGCAGCCAGATAGTCGAAGGGGAAGAGGTAGCGCCAGTTGAAGTTGCCCTCGCCGGTCAGGGAGTGGTAGTGGACATCTGTGTCCTGTTTGTCCTCTTGCTGGCCCTTCAGCCACCTGGGGGAAGGGGTACCACCCACTCCAGACCTGCAACCACAGCGGTGGGGCCTCTCCCCGCCCCACAGCCCCCCTTGTCTTCTCCCTCCTCTCCTGTACCACAGGAAGGTGGGATCCCCCAGCTGAGCCCCCTCCCAGCCCGGGACCTCTCACCCACCCCCGCACAAAAATGTCACTGGACTTCTCCCCGGTGAAGAAGTCGTCGTCCTCCAGGACCACCTCATCCGTGTTCCACACGATGACCCGTAGCTCATACCTGGGCAGGGGGAGAGGCTGGTTAACAGTTTGGGTGGGGATTACCCTATGACCTTGGGTGGTGGGCTGGAGATGAGATGAGCAAGAGAAGTCCTGGGGACTTGGGGTGATTATGGGGCCTGGGCAAGTTGGGGCTGAGACAGTAGCAGGGATGGAGAGATGCTGAGACTCCTGCGGGTGTGACTGCCAGCCAGTCAGCATGGCTGTTGTGAGGCGAGCCCCAGGAGGAAGCCAGTCTGGCTGGAACGCCAGGACCCGGAGCACACTCCTGGACAGGGAGGCTGCCTGAGGGCAGGGAGGGGCCCAGCTGCGGAGGGGGGCTGAAGCGAGGCCCAGAGAGTCAGGGCAAGGTCCCCCAGCTTCAGAGGCCAGAAGCTCCACTCCGGACCTAACAGCAATTTACATTTAAGCCCAGCAGCTGGCAGTGAATACCCATGGAGTCTAGTTTCCTTTATGTCCTTGTACCCAAAGAGGATTTTGACATGCAATTGTCATCATAAATAAGGTAGTTTTGTGTGTCTTGTGTGTAAGAGTATGTGTCGGTACATGTGTGGAAGCCATGTTTTGAT